GGGCATAACGGTAGGGGAAACACTGGCCTTTATTATAATGGTTCTTGAATCATAATCTGTATTATTTGGCATTTGTTCAATAATCCGAACACAAAGATGTACAGACATCTTTTTAAGGAACTGCATAAATATTGTCAGAGTGATAATAATAAATGATAACATTGATTTAAGCACTTTGATCCTCTCCTTGTAGAGCTAGAGATGAGAAGACGAGAGGATGAATACAGATTCACAAGTAAGTGACTGACCTCCTTACAGTTATCTGACTGATTATTCTTTCTGTTATCAGCAGTGACGTAAAGTCACATCTAATCAGTACGGTTCTGTTTATGTTTTTTGAGTTGCACAAATGCCAAAATGTACAGACCACGGTGACTCCTCATTGGACCGTTCTGCCTCTTTTACTGAAATATACCTAGTAAATAAGAACTAACCCAGTTTCATTTTTGGGATTAATAAAGTCTCATTCAGTTTCACATTATTATATGATTATATTATATAGCCATTCTAAAATTAACATTGTAAAATGTACAGTCCAGAAGTCTGTCATTAGGTATTTTTTTAGTTTATTTTTAACCTTAATGTTTTTTAATTAATGTATGTTTTTTTTAACCATACTGTTTTTTAATTAATGCATGTTGTTTGTATGAAGAAACTAAATATTAATTGTGCTAAACTGGAACAGACTTGTAGTTGTGTGAGGGTGAGTTTCTTTTTGATTTACAGTAAGTTATTTGTGCGTTGAGGTTTGTTCTTGTACAATAATAGAGATAAGTGGCAGCAGTACTTGTAGGAGAACCTGCCTCCTACATTCTGTCAGCGTGATAATGATGATTTATACTTAACATACATCATTAGTTTTTTTCCCTGCATTTTTTAAGAAAACTACCAAACTAAACATGAAATTAGCCACTACGAGACCTTTATTCTTTCCAGCATGTCTTAGCTGAAAGTAAAATTTATTGGACACACTGAAAATACTCTACATCCCCATAATGCACCATTTTAAACATTATTTACAGCTCAGTGGCATTGCTGCTTTGTCACGCTTTGACCTTTTCTTTCAACCTTATGTAATCCAACATCTGGGTCAACTCATATGACCTTTGGGTTACGGGTCATCTCTACTGACCAGAAAAAAGGGTAACAAGGCAGCCCTTATCATCTGCATTCAAACTGTTGCTGTTTTCAACCGCACTGTGTCTTATAAACCCTGGCACTGACTATGCATGTATTTTTAGCTCCCCATACGTGGAAAATGTCACACTTACACATACCAGCATTAATGGATTACTTGTTTGTGCAACAGTGTCTCCGATATTTGAGGTGGAAATCTGTTTTGAGCATTGGGCTTGTTGTTGCAGAGCTGCTGCAGATCGCAGGGATCAGTCCTCATGGAAATGCTCTGGGAGCGAGCATGCAGCAGCAGGCGAGCCAGCAGCCGCTTCAGGAGAAGAGGGGTGGGGAGGTCCTGGACTGCTCGCACTCTGACATCAAACTGGAGAAGAGCAACATTATACTCCTCGGTCCGACTGGTTCAGGTTTGTGTCTTGTCAACTTTTTTCTGAGCGGTGTCTCTGCTGGCACGCCAAGTTTGTGGTTCGTTTGCAACAGAAATGGGTCAAAGCTTATTTAAAGGGTCAATATTATGTGTTTCTCAGGCATATATTTAAATACTATACATTAATAAAGTATCTATGTCACCTTTAGCTGTTATTAAAATGCTGTTTTTATGCTTAAATTGAAAATAAACTTAGCTTCTCATCACTTCCTCTTCTAAACGCCTTGAAATTGGCCTGTCTCTTTAAGAACCACCTTCCACTTCTGTCCCGTCCATTTCAGTGCGGGGGAGGGGAGGGCTGCCATGATGCAGTTTACTTGAGGTACACTTCGCTGCAGCATGCAGAACGGGGCGGTGACAGACCTTTCCGTCAGTCCCATACCTTATATGGAAATGGGACTATTGCATTCCGGAAATGAAGGTTGCTCCTTAAAGACGCGGGATTAAGAGAGCAAAGGAAGAAGAAAGGAAGAAGTTAGAGAGTTTCTTCTACTCACGTTGAAGTACTCAGAGCATTATTGATGAATTTCTTTTATCCACCTCCCCAAACACAGACCCTCAGGTTAACCTCACAGGTTTAATGCCTAAGGTTAGTTTGTTACTGTAATATAATATTAATATCCAAAAACAACAAAGATTTAATAAAGATTTGAAAATGAAAAAGGGACATACCACGTGACATAACACGTTGTGTAGCCATTTCCTTACTGTAATTTTTTTTTTATTAAACAACAAAGAACACACAAAATGATACAATGTACAAACAATAAGGCGTATTTCAAACAAACAAACAAACTTGCATAAAAGAGAAAAAGGATGGGTGCAAATAAAGATAAGAAATTCCTTACTGTAAAATTTGTATTTTTAATGTTGAAAGTGTTCGATAGAAAATAGTGTCACTAGCGCCCCCTTCATTTCCGGAATGCAATAGTCCCATTTCCATATAAGGTATGGGACTGACGGAAAGGTCTGTCACCGCCCCGTTCTGCATGCTGCAGCGAAGTGTACTTGGTTTACTTGGCATCTGAAAATACATTTCCTCCAAGGTATTTTTAAAAGGTGTATTTAATCTGCCAGGAGGAAGTTCGGCTTAAAGACACGTCCCAGAGGCGTTTCTGGTCCCCACCTGTCGTTTTGCTCCTCAGCATGGCTGCCAAAAAATGCTGCAGGATTTCTCAAACATGCATGAATGAGTCAGAGAAAGGCTTTGGGCTTGTTTTTTATGAGTATAACATTATAACATGATATAAAACTCAAAAAAGTTTATTTTTACATGATGCGTAAATGCTCCTTTATGCACCTTTAATTATAGTTTCTGTTTTTTTAAAACAGGAAAAACATTATTGGCACAAACACTGGCACGTTGTCTTGATGTTCCGTTTGCGATCTGCGACTGCACCACGCTGACTCAAGCTGGATACGTGGGAGAAGACATCGAGTCGGTCATCGCCAAACTTCTGCAAGATGCCAACTACTCAGTGGAGAAAGCACAGCAAGGTGGGCAGTCAGACAAGAATTAACAGCAGGGTCAGAACCATACGTTGAAGCAGAACCTGGAATAAACAATGAAATAAGGCCAGGAGTGTATAAATATGCTTTTGAGATCATTAAACAATGATAAGAATTGATGTAGTTTCCCGTCTTACTCCTACTTGAGCTTTATATTCTTAGGTCTGTCCTAAAAGGTACAAGTAGCAGAAGAAGGAAACCTAAAACTGAGTGAGCTGTGACCAACATTACTTAAACTTTAAAGCTTGCAGCTCTAAACAGGATGGTTTTAATACGATTAAAAATGGGAGCTGTTGTGCTCGAGCCAAAACATGTCAGTAAATTCAGTAAGACTTGTTTGTCCCGGCGTGACAGTTTGTTTAAAAAGAACGTATGTAATATATCTTCTTTAGAGGCAGGACTGTGTTTTGTGAAAGCAAGTCATTATTCCAACCACTGTTGTCCTCCTGTCTCCTGTTGCAGGTATTGTGTTCCTGGATGAGGTTGATAAGATTGGCAGTGTGCCTGGAATCCATCAGCTAAGAGATGTGGGCGGAGAGGGAGTTCAGCAGGTCAGTTTTTACCCTGATTGCCTTAAAAAAATCCCATGCAATATAAAATCGAAGGAGTTCACCTTCTGTGGTCATTCAGAGATTATTGTTTGATGTGCTGCTGGTAGAAAATATCTCTTTTTTTTGTTTATTTGCCAACAATGCATGACTGGATTTATTAATTTTAGCATTGTGCTTGACAAATAGGTATCCATTCTTTTTTTTATTTAGAATTTACTGTATGAATAATAAAATCTAATCTTATTGCATCCAAAGAACATCGAGCGTTTTAGTTACTGTCCGCTACTAAAAGCAATGAGGTTTTTGTTTGTCTGTTAGCAAAATATCTCATGCATCTGTGAACAGATTTTAATAAAACAGTCAGTCTGATTCCAGATGTTAGCCGCATCAATCAGATTCATGAATATTGAGCTAAAGTTTGGTGTAACTCGAGTCATACTCTGAGTACTAACAAATCTTGCATGAGATTGCCCGTAACATTTACAAGGTTTGACTAAACGATTACATTTCTCATCATAAGATGATCTTAGTCTAAAACTCTACTAATACCACTAATGAGCTTGTGTTTTAGCAGTGGTACATTGTGTTAAGCTTAAAATCTGGGGCAATACATTTAATTTAACTGATTTACCTAAAGTTGTGTTTTGTTTTGTTTTCTTTCAGGGTTTGCTGAAGCTCTTGGAGGGTACAATTGTCAATGTGCCTGAGAAAAACTCCAGGAAACTCCGAGGTGAAACGGTGCAGGTCGACACAACAAACATTCTGTTTGTTGCGTCCGGTGCCTTCAACGGCCTCGACAGGATCATCAGCAGAAGAAAAAATGAAAAGGTACGTTTAAACACACGTGCAGTGTCCCAAATGAACTCATTTCCTGCCTCACGAGGGATTCTCGTCCGTTTCATCTCTTCAGTATTTGGGTTTTGGAACTCCCTCGAACATGGGGAAAGGGCGGCGAGCGGCGGCGGCGGCGGACTTGGCCAACAGCAGCGGTGAGACGGACACGGTGGCAGAGATCGAGGAGAAGGACCGGCTGCTGAATCACGTGGAAGCCAGGGACCTGATTGAGTTCGGGATGATTCCAGAGTTTGTTGGTCGTCTTCCCGTCGTCGTTCCGCTGCACAGTTTGGATGAAGATACGCTGGTCCGGATCTTGACTGAACCACGTAATGCTGTGGTGCCGCAGTACCAGGCTCTGTTCAGCATGGATAAAGTAAGGATTTTGTTAGTTATTCAGTAATTCAAAATAAGCTGAATATTCAACACATAGCTTAACATATTTTTGCTCCTCTTACTAACTGATGTAACAAAAATAAGACTTTCACCAGAATGTTCTGATTTTTTTTTTTGTATTCCTGAAATCTGTTTTTTTTTTAAATAATGTAACAGTTAGCTCTACCTGTAAACTTTAATGTTTTACCTCCTTAAATTAAACATGTAAAATTCCTGTTTGTTTTAGTGCGAGCTCAATGTCTCCCAAGATGCTTTGAGAGCCATCGCCCGAATGGCTCTGGAGAGAAAAACTGGAGCTCGTGGACTCAGATCCATAATGGTTTGTTGTTTTACTTTTTATCCTTCTATTCCTTTAATGCATTAATTTTGCGTGTAAATGTTTATTTTTATGTTTCCACAAACAGGAGAAACTTCTCCTTGAGCCCATGTTTGAGGTGCCGCACTCAGACATCATTGCTGTTGAGCTTAACAAAGACGTGGTCCAGGGAAAATCAGAACCCAGATACGTCAGGTCCGCATCACCGAACGAGGACATTAATATTGTATTATTAGCCTGTAGTGTTGTGGTTTTTAAGTTTTAACCGGACCTTCATATTGAATTTCAGAACTCCAGCCAAGGAGTCGGCGGAGGAGGAGTACGACTCTGGCATCGAGGAGGAAAACTGGCCTCAGCAGGCAGACGCTGCGAACAACTGATCCACATTTCACCTGCAGACCACACGATCTAAAAATCATTAATTACCATGAACCTTTTTTGGACACCAAGCTTTGGTACTTTTTTTTTAAGCTACACCTGAAAAAATAAACTGTGGACACTGGTGAATATGTTTTCACCATGAACAAGTAAAGAGAGAGTAACAACCTTTCGGTCTCTTGTATCAAATAATTCTCTAGCGGTGCACTCGGTGTGGACCTTTTTTATGAAATATTTCAATCTCTGGGGATTGTTAACAGTTTATCTATATAAAGATAATGGAATTTTAATGATGAAGAAAAAGTATTTGTAGCTAGTTTGTACTCTCTTCTTTTGGTGATTGGTTGTACTGGCAAAGGAAGCAAATGGAAATAATGGGATCATACTGTACAGGGAGGGAGGGCGGAGCTTAGAACGTGTAGATGTTACCGTGTTAAGAAATGCCTTAAGTCACGAGGGCATGATATTCCATGAGCACATCAATATTTTGATGATTCTTTCTTTACCACCATTGTACTAATGGTGCTCCGAGTGAAATCTGTTGTAAATGTTCAGCTACACACAGGTAGTGTTTGTAAGCAGTTTATACGACTTGAGCTCTTCTTAAAAGGGCATATTGTGACAGATTAAAAACACACCAGCACACTAATCACATCAGATGAGAAAAATTAGCCTGAATGGTTATTTTAGTGTTCAGCTTCTTCATTTACCCCACTTTTTTCAGGGATGTTTTATTTACAGACCTCTGTTATGGGTTGATTCAAAAGGGGAGAATTAAGATTGTTTCTGTTTGAAGTGATTAATCCTCATGTTCTGATATAAATAAGTTTGATCACATCTTTGTTTGGAACTCCCTCTGAATTTGCATCGTTAAGCAAAAAAACATTCTCCACTCGTGCAGCGGTGGTCCCTCCATGCTGCTGTTTGTCCGTTCAGATTCAACTCTTGTTTTATTTTAAAATCTTATTTCTTTTTCCTTCTGTCAAGCTGCTGTTCCTCAGAGGTCTGTTACAGAATCTGTAGACTTTCCCGCTTCCAAAATAAGCTTGTGAGTCCTAAATTTATTGTGATTGTTTAAAAATATATAAATAAAATCTGTAAGTGGAAAGTTGAATGTGAAACTTGTCTCCATTCAGGACACGTTGGCTGTCTTGTGCCTCACTGTTGGGTTGTCTCCTTTATGTAATCAGCTAATCTCTGGAAAGTAGTGTGCTGTTCTCCGTTTCCTGATGCATCAGCATTTTTATAATCCCTGTGTCGGTGCACATGGAAATTACATAGTAAATGTAATTGCCTGTATTCGGATATTAAACATTGTAGTGGTCACGGTGGAATGAGCCGGTCTCACACTACAACATGAACAAAGAAGCTAGTGTTAATTAAACTTTAAACCATAAACTAAGCATGATGTTTCAAATTAGCATCACAGAAAAGGTGAAGAATAAGAAGCTTTAATAAAAGTTTGGTGCTACTCTGCTAAAAAAAAGTTTTAAAAACTTGACTTTATGGCAGCTCTTACAGTAATGGATTACAGCAGACGTCTGAGGAGGTAAACAAACTCCCAGATGATGTCAGAGGCTTAGTGATGAGTATTATCACGCACATTGATGTTTGTGTCAGTCATTTACTCCTGTCAGTTCAAGACGACTGGACCTGGACGTCAATATTACACAACGGTAGGAAATATTTTAAGGAATACGTGCAACTTCAAACCTATTTGCTCAGTTAGATTTTGCTGAGCACAGATTTCTCATCTGTGCACATAGGTGATGATGAACATTTTGGAGGATGTTCCTTTTCACACCCCTGTGGGTCCACTGGGGGTGGAGGTACAGCTTCTGACCTTACCGGAGATGCCGGCTCCAGACTGCCATCAGATCATGCAAGAAACTGAGGTTATATTTTTTCATAAATCATTTTGGGGCTTTATTTTAGAATTAGCTTGATCAAAATTGTGTTGTATAACTTACACATTCCTTATTTACCAGTTTCTTTACATCCATGTTTAATTGTTTGAAAATGAATCCAAAAAGTCCCAAGTTTTATTTTGATGTATAGTTAAAATCAGATGTTTACATACACATTTAAACATAGTACAAAAAAAGTAAGTAAATTTGTGTTTGTTGGATTATTTCTTTGTAATTCTAGGCAACAAATCTTGTAATTGGCCCCCGATTGGCAGCAACTGGGGGTACCAGAAGCTCAAAACAAGTGTCAATAATAAGATGTTTGTCAGTGGCAGAGATTTGTCAAAATTTTCATGTGTACAACCCACATACTCAACTCTACTGCTCATCCCACAAATGTATGTTCCTTACAAATGTGGCACTATTTAAAGTCAAATTAACAGACTTTCCAATAGTAAGATTTATTACCAAGAAGAGTTTTTACAAGAAGTCTACCAAATACAAAGTTGCTTACTTTTTCTGCTAAGTACACACACACACACACACAAATTTTTTTTTTATTTTTTGGCATGAAATCAGACTAAATTCCTGTTTTAGGTCGTTGAAGATTCCCCAAATTGTTTATTTTTCTTAAATGCCCGAAGAATTAGGTTATTATTTGGATTACTTTCTTTAAAGTCACAAGTTTACATACACAATTACTATGATTTTGAGGAATTTAGGAAAATCCAGATGATGTCATGGATTTGGAAGCTTTATAAATGTTAGTTGACAACATTTGAGTTAATTAGTAGCACGGCTGTGGATCCATTTTAAGGCCCAATTCCAACACTGCTTTTTTGCGAAATTATAGGAAAACATCTGAATATCTGGCTACTATATCCAGATGTTTGTGGGCAGTGTGTTAATCTGTTTAAAGTATACACATCATGGGAATGTCCTTTCATCCTACTGCTCAGTAGAGAGGTTCTGTGTTCCAGAGATGAACGTGTTTTGGTGCAGAATTAATGTATCAACCCCCAAAACACGTTCATCTCTGGAACACAGAAATGAACGTGTTCCAGAGATGAACGTGTTTTGGTGCAGAATTAACGTATCAACCCCCAAAACTGAAGAAAAAGACATTGTGAAGATGCTGAAGCTGGTAAGAGAATGATGATGATCATTGCGTTGGAAGAACCATGCAAACCTGGGGACACCATCCTGACTGAAAAGTACAAGGATAGTACCGGGCTGTTCATTATTCATTAATAGATGACATCATGAGGAAGGAACATCTAAATACCGAAGTTAAAGTTTGGGCATAAATGGGTCTTCCAATAAATAAATAAATAAATAAATAAATAAATAAATAAATAAAATAAATGGGTCTTCCAAATAGACAATGATCCAACCATACTGCCAATTAAAAATGTTTTAAGTTGGCTTAAAGACAATAAAGCCAATGTTTTGGAGTGTGCATTGCAAAGCACTGATCTACAACTAGTGGGAAACTTAGAGGCAGAGCTAAAAAGATGTGTGAACAAGATGATCTACAAACATGACTCAGGTGGGAAGAATGAGACAAAATTTCACCAAACTGTTGAGGAAGGATACGTTTGAGCCAAATTATACAGTTAGTTGCCAATCCCACCAATTACTAAGAAAGTCTGTGTAAAACTGTGACTTTGAAGAAGTAATGTAAATGTGAGGGAAGAAAAAATTAGGGGTTATTAACATCTGGTTTTCAACTTAGTCCAACTCTATTAATTGTATATTTGCTGGAAAATGTAAACAGATTCTTGCATATTAGTGACCCCCCTCAAGTTTGACTCGTCCCTAAATGAAAGGTAAATGCTGTGTTTGTGCAGTATGGGTTTAATCTGGAGAGATGGATTTTAATGGGGCAGCAGCCAGCCTCTCAGGCCCCATCCTGCCCCCCCTACTGGCTGATGTTCAGCAGTCCTCAGGAGACCCACAGGCTCAGGGACAGCAGTCTGTGGGGCCCTGGGCCTCGACCCCGCAGCCACAGCTTGAGTTCAGCAGACATCCACCCGTTGCACCGCCGCACTGTCAAGTTCCTCCTAACAGACTCTGATGAAGAGGAGGGCTCTTATGAGAATAAAGGGTCTTCAGCTGAAGGGCTACTCCACCGTGTCAACAGCAGAGAGCGGCCCAGGACCACTGCGTCCAGAGTCAAAGACATGCACCTTGGTTACTGCTCACATGGAAGCAAGCCTGATTTCTCTCCGCCCGTCCCAGGGTGCAGACCACCTCTGCGTGCCCTGGAGCAGCACAGGCCACAGCAGGCCAGCCCCAGGTCTCAGGGGCCAAAGAACAGCAAGAAGAGGCCAACTTTACTGAGCAGAAAGTTCTCCCAAAACACACCACCTGCTGGTCCGCCCAGGTCACAGCAGCAGAGACCCTCCTCTGCAGGACCAGCAGTCAAAAACCGCAGGAAGAAGGTATTTCTTTTCTAAGAATAAACACAAAAGGTTGAAAGTGTTCTTTTTAAATATCTTAAAAAGGTTTTTCATTTTTGTTTTTCCCTGATCAGATTCTAACAACTAGTGGCTCTCGTGGGGTTTTCTTTGACTCTGCAGCAGAGCTTCTGACAGCTCTGAGCCAGGAGGAGAGGGACTTACTAGAAACCATCACTGAGAGAGGATACCCGTTACGCACCGCTATTCTGGCTCTACAGAAAACTGGATATCAGAGTCCAGAAAAGGTGAGACTCCCTTGCTGGATATCCTAACCTGCAAGAGCCTATTTGCAGCGGTAAAGGAACAGTTCACTTTGTAGTGTGCTGCATAGACTTATTTTAAATATTTGTTTTGGATTTAGTATGAAAGGGTTGGTAGGGTAGCAAAAATATAAAAGAAAAATGTTCAATAATACTATTAGGTCACAACTCAAAGCATATTTGATAACTGAAAAGCATGTCAACTTAATTCTAATATTGAGTTACTTTTATACAGTACATTAATACACAGTACAGTCCTAAAACTGTCTTTTCTGTATTACAGGTCCTAAAATATCTGGTTTCCAGTGAGCGTCTCTGTCAGCTGGGCTATGATGAAGCACAAGTGGAAGAAGCTTTGGAGATGTTTCAGAACTGTGAGAGCAAGGTAATGCCAGCTCATGAGTTGTAATAAAGAGCACTGCAGTGATTTGGTCTAAACTTTGTGCACGTTGTGTTTTAGGCTGCTGAATTCCTGTGCCTGTTGACTCAGTTTAATGAAATGGGCTTCCAGCAAAGCGCGATCAAAGAGGTGCTGCTTGTTCATGAAAACCACCGGGAGCGAGCTCTGGAGGAACTCATGACCCGCATGGCTTAGAGAAACCAGAGATCAAATAAATGAGAGCTTAGATTTCTGACAAAGCCAAGCAGCAAGAATCAACAACATTCAGGTTTCTGATCAATGTTTGCTTAAATGTTTATTAACAGACTGATTTAAAAGCATAAAACAATTTAATTTTACTTTTACTCCAGCTTGAGAAAGAAAAGCACAGTACGTAATGTACTTAAGTTCTTTAAAACACTTGTTTAAAAAATGAACCCACATGGGGAAAAAAAGGTTGTAATAAAAATGCAACAGCCCAAGAATCAAATATTTACAGCATAGATGAAAAATAGTTACAGAAGTAAGGCAGGAATAGTCTTAAACAACAGGAGTAAAATCAGAAATAAAGACATTTTCACCAGAAGCGTCGTCAGTGATGACTGACGGTGGAGTTCAGCAGTCCAGGTGTCGCATTTGATTTGGAGGCTTTTGTAAGCTCTTTCTGTGAAGGAAAGTCAAAATTAATCCGTGCATAAAATACATTTCAGTAAATCATCCACCTCTAACTGATGTGTAATATAAATAAATGTGTTTAAATGTGCGAGTGAAAAGAAACTCAAATGTTTGTCAGATATGTAGTTAAAAAAAGGACTTTTATTCTGTAGCTGATGTTTCACTCTCATCTGCAAAACTATGAATTTTAAAAATGCCTGAAGTTCCAAGGTTTAAAATCCACTGTTTTAACTGGTGTGATTTTCTGCATCATTAGTTTTTAAATGCAGATCAGTCTACAGACATTTGTTTAATTCAGTGTTTACTTTCTTGCCGCTTCTTTAAAAAAAAAAAAAAAGTATGAAGCACATCTGTCATAACTAAGAAAAAAATACTTCACTTCATATTATAATCAGACATTTTAAAAATAAATCACTGTCAGAATATTCAGGTGTTCATCTGTTTGGGTATTTCATACTTGATTCATACCCAAAAAGTAAGTAAGTAAGTAAGTAAGTGAGTGAGTAAATAAATAAATATATATAGATTTTTTTTACTCTAACAGTTTTATGTAGTTGAGGACTAGACATGAAAAACTCAGTGTACCGCAAAATCTGTATAGGAGCCAGCAACAGAGTTAAAGGTGAGATCCTGAGATTTTGGTGTTCCACAGGGAGTGTTTCTGTTAATGTGAGAGATGTTCTCCTTGTTCCGCTCTAATGCTCGGGGCATCTTTCCACATCCTGGAGTCCGCAGACCAACACCCTACAAGAAGATTAACTAGAGTGATTTTGTTCTTTTTTCCTTTTAAAAAAGGTCTTACATAAAAATATATCTACACTGAAAAGACGAATAAATACAAACACCATTCTGTGAACTAATCTAAAACTGTTGATTTCTCAAGGCATAGCGCTTTGGATAATTTCAGGAGTTATTTCCAAGATTTGCTACAAATCAGGGATTTACTGGAGTCAATCATTTACAAGAGCCAACAAATATAACAAATGAGTTTCTATTCTTCTTCTGCCACCAAAATTTCAAGTTTAAAAACAACAAAAATCCACGAGCATACCTTGTTGGCAGACAGGGGGGGTTTCTGCAGATAGGAATGACACATGGTTCCACCGAGGCCTGAACCGAGGAAGCTGTTTGGTGTGGTGACAGTCGAGGTGCCATTTAACTAAAACAGGAGAGAAAAAGTTTGTTACCTGCATGTTTGACCAGTCGTTCTTATAATCAGAACTGATCTCACCTTTCTTAGTTTGGAGCTTGATGGAGTTCCTGGCATTCGTCTTTTCGATGGCGTTTTTGTTGTTCCGTAAAACATTTCTTCCTGTGTTTGTCTAGTTTTCTTTAGTTGCTATGTCAAACAAAAATAATAATAAAGTCTAACAGTGCTTTAAAGAAATAAAATAAAAATCAGGAATATTGAGTCGTTTCTGAAAACCAAAACTTACTCGTTCAAGTTTTTCCCGCTCCTTTTCCTCGTGGTGCGTCTCCCACTGCTGCTTCACGTATTCAAGAAACTTCTGTCCGTTCACCAGGAACTCTCTGTTGTGCTCCTGCTCCCAAGCTTCGACCTGGGACTTCAGACTCTTCTCCAACTAAAGAAAAATATATTTATAAAAAACAAACCATCTCTTTAAGAAGCACCTTCTGTTTCTGACACTCCCACTTCAGCATATCTTCACAACAATGCTTTAGGGGAGGGGAGCTCAGCTGCAGACTGAGCACCAGGTTGGAGCTTTGTACCATTAAGCATTAAGGCAGCTCCACAGGAGATTCAAGGACTTCTCAAACATGCATGAATGAGTCAAAGCAACACAGTATGTGTTTGATGAGGAAACAACATTAACCTTTATATTTGCTAATTTATCTAACTTATATATATATATATATATATATATCTTTAACAAATGCTGCACATATTTTATATTCTGACTGAGGAGATGACATGCACATACATATTTAGATAAGTTCAAGTACCTTGGGCAAACTTTTATGCAGATCAGCTCTTTGCTTCTCCTCTTTCAGAAGGTTCCCTCCTCTGTTGTTGAACCTTGAAGGATCATTAGCCTTTTTCTGAAATGAAAATAAGTTTATGAAACATCTTTTGTTCTCCACAAAATGAGATGTTTTCTCAGATTTGTGACTGTAGTGCTCACCTCAAGCTCCAAATACAAGCTCCAAGTCTCCTGCCATTTTGTGACTCCCTCAAAGAGTTCCTTGTGGTCCTCGTAATATTTCTTCAGGCTCTTGGCCTCACTCTCATGCAGATTGAGGAGCTCCTCAGTGAAATCATCTGTAAAATGGGCAAAAACACAATAAATCCCTGATTGCAGCCAATATTCAAAACTACAGGATTCATAAATTAGACATATTTTACCATCATGAAATGATACAAAAGCTTCCCGCTGCTCACTGCTGTAGAAACATTTGTTCCACAACAGAGTGATTTCTGCTCTGATGGCCTCGGTGAAGGTTCTCATGCTCTGCCTTTTCAGCACCTCTAGACGCTGGAGCTCTGTCTGCAGCTGAAAATATGTGATCGGATGATGATGATGTTCAGAGAAGAAACATGCTGAGATTACTCATTCATTGTGACAAGGGGGAGATTTCTTACTGCTTCAAGGTTTTTCTTTTTTGAGTTGACCATGTGCTCAGAGAAGGCTGCCTGCTCCTCCTGAGGAATCTGAAGTCTCTCCCACAGCTCCTGGATCTTGGTGCGGAAACCTGAACAAAGCTGCTCGTTCTCAGCCTTGCGCTCTTGCAACTGAAAGACAACACAAAATCAAATAACTTGCATGGTGCAAAAACCTCTCGACTTCAGATTAGCCGGTGCGTTTTCAAAAACCTGACCCGGCTGAGGAGAAGTTTAAGATTCGAAATGTTGTCATCTGACAGGCAAAAATCCTCGTCGTCCTCGCAGGCCACGTCCATTTCAAAACTGGTTTCTGGCTGCTGCTCCAGGTCACTCATGCAAGCGAGGATCTCCTTTCTGATGCTCATAAATTCACCGTGACGACGCTCCTGAACAGACGAGACGGATTAAAAACCTCAAATAAAAACACAAAAGCAAATCGTTAGAGAGTCCTCCATTAGCACCTTCTCTTTGGTGAGATTGTTGATGTAGGAGTGAAAGCTCTCGAGCTGCTCTGCTGATGGGACCACACTCTTGTCAATGCTAAAGGGAGTGGTGCACATAATGTCACACAGATCGTGGTCTTTGTCAATAAGGTCTTTCAGTGCCTCCAGCCTTTGTTGCTTTTGTTTTTCCAACGTCTCCAGGCAGATCCGGCTGTCCTTCTCCAGCTGCAGAATAGAGATGCCTTCTTCCTCCTGTGCAGAAACATCTAAATTTAATGAATCTAACAAATGCAACCTTTGCTGCTGTCTTGCCTTTTTATTATTAGACTATATTTGATAGGATAAAAATAATATCCTGGACCCTAAAATCAGATCCAGGATAATTTGTTAGAACATCTTGCTTTTGCTTTATGTTCAGATTTGTGTGAAATGGATGACTCAGTGCTTAACTTATGGAGAAAAAAAAACAGCCACACAAATGAATGCTTGCTCCTCAAATAATCTTTGATTTAAGAGTGTCCAGCTGTCTTCTATTCAAGCACTCAGGGTTCCTTCAGGACATTTTGAAGACCGTATGTGTGAAATGTACTTCAGTAGGTTATTTTTTTTATATAAACAGATCTTGTTTCAGATTTTATTTTAAACTTGAGTGGAGATAAAAAGTTTTAACCTTGAATTGCTTTGACACCAAAAAGTGTTGAAATGCAACTTCTTTTCATCTTAAATGTCATCGTACCTTGAAGGGAGGCCGATGCAGTTCTTTGCACAAAATAGCAAGTTCTTTGCGGCATTTCTCTATGTTGTTAAGCAGCTGCCTCTTGAGCGCCTTCTCTTCTTCAATCATCAAGTCCAGCAAACTCTGCAGGGGAAAAAAAGTACAGAAGGTGAAGTAGTGTTGTTATGCTGCTAGACCAAAACAGCAACAACAGCAAAATAACAGATTTATTAGAAATGCACGACTCACTTTAACATGTTTATGAACTTCACCGGTTCTCTTAACACGCTGCTCTTCTGGGATCCCGATTTCATCCCAGATATCCTGCAGCTTGACCAGGGCCTTGTTTAGATAGGCAACAGACTCTGCTGCGTGGACTTCACTGTAAGGAATGAAAAAATAACTTTCAAACAAGCCAGGTGAAGCCATGAACGGTGAAGAGAGGGGAGCAACAAGCGCCTGTTAGACGCTTATTTTCTTTACGTAACGTAAGAACTAATACAAAACTACTTTCACGTCCAGAACACAATGAATTATTAAAATAAATAAATGCTATTTAATTTTAACCCATAGTTCATTTGCTCGCCCTGTAACCGCGTGAATGCTAACACGAACAGTTCCATTTCTAAAATCAATCGGGGTATCAAAGTGTACAGCAGAGTTGAACAAACGATTAAAAATGTCGGGTACTTACCTCAGTCTCATGTCGCCACTGTAGATATCTACAAATATTAATCAACAATCCCTTAGAAAGTCAGTAGGGTGAACCCCGAGCGACTGCAGTAGTTTGAATAACCGTTTGTTGGTTGAATTTAAACTTTATAACGAAACAACACCTGAACGCTGATTGGCTCGTTCTGCTGTCGTCAGCGGAAGTTTTTTTTTCAGACCTACAAAGTTACGGAAGATAGCGCCCCCATCAGGATTGGAGTGTGTAACGAAGAAGGACAAGAATCTTCTTCTTAGTAGCTACACACTTTTTATGACTTCAATTAAATAAATAAATAAATAAATAAATAAATAAATAAATAAATAAATAAATGTGGTTAGCAATTTCACAGCACCTGATTCTGTGTAAATTCATGCAGTTTTGCTTTCCTTACTAATATTTTTTAACCTAATATACTATAAAACATGTTAATTTAGGTAGTTTTCAGTCCAAAAATGAAGAACAAAATAAATAAATATATAAAATATATAAATAAAACATGTACAGTTGATGAACACTATTCAAAAATCATGTATTTAAGAAATAAAAAAAGAAAAGCTCTGACACATTAGTTGTGATATAATACAATTTTATGTGTAAAACGTGGATGTTTTTATAGATTAAACAAAAAAAGCAACAGGTTGCTGGAAACAAAGTGCCTAATCAAAATAATTATTTTTTACTAAGTTGTGTGTCCACACAAACCTTTGGTCTGACTAAACAGCAAAAAATAAATAAATAAATAAATAAATAAATAAAATAAAACATTCCTCTTGAAACGGTTAATAATTTTTTAGGCCAGGCCCTTCTTCTTTTTATTCTCCACTTGAACATTTTCCACATTTATTTTTTAATGTACACAACAAAAGCCTGTCATGATCAGCTACAAGGACAGGAGTGAAAATGGTATTTTTTTAATAGCAGCCCACATCTGAAAAAAAGTAGTTGTTGTGGACTTCCAGAAATTTATAAGGCTTAAAAAAGACCACTTTCAAAGATTTTAAGAAAGCTGCCACTTAAAAAAGTGAGGAATACCCTAAACCCTTTATGTTAAATGAGACCAGTATTGTTTATTCTCAGAAAAAATAATATTTTCATTCATTCCCAGCATTACTACAATGATTTTGTCTTTTCTAATATCGGTCATGTCTCTGACCCAGTTCTCTTACCATCATTACATTGCCTACATGTTCAGATACATTCTACCTTCACCTTTGCTTACTGGAATCTGTGGTTTGTTTTGTCAAAATACACAATTACCCAATTCCTCTTTTTGCTCTTGTTCCCTGTATGCAGAATGTAATCTGTGTCATTTTAGGACTCTTTGAATGACAAACACTCACTGGCCACTTTATTAGCTGGTACTGGGTTTGCCCCTCTTTTGGCCTTTACTATTGCTTTGATTCTTTGTAGCACAGATTCAACAAGGTGTTTCCCTGAGATTTTGGTCCATACATGATGGCATTGTTCTGCCACTCCAGATTTATCAGTTGCTCATTCATGATGTGAGTTTCCTGTTTCACCACACCCCAAAGGGGTCAGCGGGACAGAGACTGAGTGTGAAGATCACTGGAGTTTGGTGAATGCAGACTCATCTTGTCCGTTTTTAGTGTGTGAACTGCAGCTTCAGTTTTGGCACTCGGTGTGGTCTTCTGCTCTTAAGCCCACTTTTTGAGCATGTTCAATGGTGGTACTCTGTTGTTGTGATGAGGGGTTATGAGTGGTTACTCTTCTCTGACATCCAACATCAGCAAAGTTTTCTTTGTCCACCTATTTTGTCTTTTTTTGGACCAATCTCTTTAAGCCCTAGAGATGGTTGTGGATGAAAACCTCAGTAGATCGACAGTTTTTGAAATACTCAGACCAGGTGGTATGGCATCAATGAGCGCAATGTGTTCACGTCCACTCAAATGCCCTTTCTTCCCTGTTCAAATGCTCGATATGAGCTTCAGTCAGTCTCTTCACCATGTATCTCTAAAGGCTTTAAGTTGCTACCATGTGATTTGCTATTTCAACAAGTAATTGACCAGGTGTAATTATAAAAGTGCTCAGTAAGTTTTAAGTTAAAAATGTTCTCAAAAGGTAAATTTAAGCATGTCTTTCACAGAATGCTGCAAAGCCTTTTCATCTTTTCTCCCAAAGCTTCCCGTCCTCTGGAATATATCTTCCCAGGTGTTCACCAAGCCCAGCAGATGTAGTTATGAAGTCAGGAAACATGTTTAATGTATTCTCAGAGGTACGGACTCTCTCCACTTCACAATCTGCTTGCAGCTGCAGTTCCAAGCCAAAACTTGTGTTTCATCTCCGCACAAAGTTTATAGTGGAATTTTCTATTCCAGTGATGCATTAAATAGGATCCTACAGCTGCTCGGTCCCTGCCGTACTCCACTGCGCGTGGGTGTAACATCGTTACACTTAAATCTGCCTCTGCTATTTCCTTCCTTTCATTATTTCAACAAGGGGCTCGAACAACACAGCGTTGTGTTTTTGGAGCTGTAATTTCAAGCCCTGCCAATCAGAAGCCATGCTCACAAACATGCTTTGAGTTTGACGATTTCATTTATTTCAGTAATTTGAAGAAAACACCAAACTTCATATATTATTTACATATTTAGAAAAGTACGAGTGTGTCTTTGGTTAATTCTTGCACAATAACACCCATATTTGAGTGGATGTTTAAAAAAAAGGGCGCAGCCACATCAAAAATAAATAAACCAGGAAATTCTGAGAAAAATTGAGACAAACTTGTAAATCTACAAGCAGGTTGAGTAACCAGGGCTTTTCTTTTCCTCATCAGTAATGATAATGACGGTAGTTGAGGTTGTTCAGCACCTCCTCACTGAACTGGTAGGTGAGCTTCTTCTTCACTTTTTTGATCTCCCCCGTTTTTCCATAGTTCCTCAGAGCCCGGGCCATTTTCTGGTAGGTCATTTTTTTGCGGTTACCTTTCTTGTTACCCCAGTGGGTCGCCAGAGCTTCTTTGTATTTGGTGGAGAACTGGAAGATGCCCTTGTCCTGGTCCACCCACCAGATGCTCTCGCTCATGTCGCCCTTTCTGAGCAGCTCCAGGAGGAACTGGTACAGGCGGATTTTCTTCTTGTTGCCTTAGAAAAAGAAAAACACGACATTTATCAGAGCTGCTTTTGTCAGTTTATCTTTTTTTATTTTCAGGGTTTTGTGGAAATGCTCACTTGTGTCTTTCCTGAAGGAATAGCTGTAGTCGTCCAACTCGTCCTCCCCCTCTGAGACCTGTAGCGGGGGGCTGACGGCCCTGTGGTCTTCCTCTGAGTAGTAACGCCCAGGTGAGGCCGAGGCCGGGTACTGGTAGCACAGGGATGGGGTGTAATATGGGATCTTTAGGGGAAATTTAAAGCAAGCCATAACTTGTTTTTTTTTCTCTCCAGTTGTTTTGTAATAACTTGCTGCTTGACTCTTTTTTAAACTCTTTTTTTAGTTTAAACACTGCCATTGTATTAAAAGAGGAAGTTGCTCATCCAAAATAGCCTTCAACGTTCTGCAACACCTCATGGTGTCTATGACATTTCAGAAAAAAATATCCCAGTGTTTCCACATCAAGCATTTGTTTTAAAATGATCTGAATCTCTGTTTTTCTCATTAAAACAGTTTCTGAATAGATTGTCAAAAATGTTTGCAACAAAAGCTGAGGTTATGGAGGGTGAGATCACATTAATCTTTTTCTTTTATTACTTACACAACCCTCTTTGTTCTTTCATGTTCATGTTCGCAAATCGTGTTCGTGAATCTCATGGACTCACCTGTGATGTCAGGGAGAGCGGAGCGAGTGGGGGGTCCAGGTGGAGGTGCAGGGAGTCGTAGCGGAAAGGCTGGATGAGCTGCTGAGGGGACACAGCCTGCAGCTCCGTCAGGTGATTCACGGGGGAATTCTCAAAGTCTGGTGGCTGGACCCGATCAGAGTGGAAGGCCCATCTGTGGTCTGAGATTAGACATACATTTAACCCTTTTACTGACCTTCTTCTTTTTTTTTCCTGCTGAAGTTGTGCTCACCTTCATAAATCTCCCCCACACCACTCAGGTAGGGGTACAGATCCACAGGCGGCCGATAACTCTCAGGCTCATGTGAAATAATTTCCTCTGATGCCTGTGAGAGCAAGAAATTATATAATTTTTCTTCTTAAACTTACATTTATGTTTCTCTAAAACTTATAAAACTTTGTGATATATCAAAAAAAAAAAAAAAACAACATTTCAGTTGATTGAAACAGCAAAAACAATGGCTTAAACCATCCAGGTGGGTTTGGGTTAAGAGTTAAGATCCAATAAACTTAGTTTTGTTAAACAAACATCATGCTCAGGTCCTCTGTACTAAAACACAAATCTCTCAGTGTCCTAATGTTTCAGTAAAATGAAATGTCACAAACTCTGATCAAAGATTAGTCTCTTTGTCTGAGATCACATAAAAATAAACAAAGGGTAGCACTTACAGACGCCATGACAAAACCATCCATCATGTGAACACGGCAGCATGAGAGTCTCAACTTTTAAAGCTATAAGTAAAGTTTTTTCTCTCCTGTTGCTTCACTGAAAAACACGCATTGTCAACCTCAGCAGACAAATGGGAACTGAAAGTGAGAAATCAGCTAAGCTGGACTTCATGCAGTCTCCATTCATGTCACCCAGTTATGATCAGCTAGTTCCTGATGGCCAGTATTGACATTTACGTGTGTTTCCTGCATGTCACAGATGCCATATGTTTGGATGACAGCAAACTGCAGCATGGTTTAAAAATATTTGTGAAAAAAGTTGCCTTCTGATTGTTTAATAGAGAGCTGTTAATATATTATAAACAATGCCCTGTGGGTGCTTTAGTCTTCCCTGTTTTCAGCTCAAACATGATCTTATTACACTTTAATCAACTGATGGTGGCCCTAAAGGAGCAGAAAAGCAGTATTCATCAAAATCTGCTACATGCAGCATAAAATGATTGGATTTTTTTACATTTATAAATGCCACACAGTTTCTATTGTAACAAATGCATGTGATTAATTTATTTAGGATTATTTTTTTGTTTTTTAATGTTTTAGATTCTTTGCACTGGAGCTGAAACCAAAAGTGAAGTTTGGAATCTGGATTGTTCCTCTTTTAGTCTGACATTCTGGTTTGAGAGAGGAAGTACCGAGCATGAGAATGAAACCAGTGAAAACATGACTGAAATGGCCTGCCTGCACTTTTAGGTTGTTTTTGATACAAAAACCGGTTTCCAAGCAAGTTCAGATGAAATAGGAATAAAAATAAATGTTTGAATAATCCTGACTCGACTGAACACATTTTCATTAAAGGTGGTATGTTAGGCTTTTATCTATATAAAAGCCTAACATAGCCTCTTTCAATTCTATTGAATTAATAAAGAATAAGCAAAACACATCTGAAAAGATAAACTGACATCAGATCAGTCACACACTATGAGCACCAGGGAAACTTTCAAAACTAAAAAAATGATGAGAAAGTAACTGTTTTGTTGAAAAAAAAATGCATGGAAGACCTGTTTTGAGAATGACGTGACATTTCTAATGAATTTGGAATTTTATCATCTGAAACCACCTTCAAACATTCAGAACAGGATTTGTGAACAGATAACGTCACTGGAAACAAACATCAGAGGAATTAAAGGGGAAACGACCGGTTCAGCTCAGCTAAAACTGCAGTTATCACTTCAACCACAAATACAAGCTAAGAGTTGGTCAGAAATCCATCCATCCATCCATCCATCCATCCATCCATCCATCCATCCATCCATCCATCCATCCATCCATCCATCCATCCATCCATCCATCCATC